TGCTACTATCTGTTATGCTTGATGTGCTAGTATGCTATGATATTATGTGATAGTGGTAGGAGGGGTAGGATAGACCCCGTTACCAGTCGAAAGGACCGAAGGGGTAGGCCATCATCCATATATGTTAGGCAGTATGTGACTTATATGTTTAGGTACTAGGATGATATGTGGTATTAGTAGGGGTGAAATAGTCCCCGTTACCGGTTGGAAGAGACCGAAAGGGGGTAGGCCAGCACCCAGATATGCTAGGCAGATACCAGTTGAAAGATACCGAAGGGGTAGGCCAGCTCCCTGATATGCTAGGCGGTTACCGGTTGAAAGAGACTGAAGGGGTAGGCCAGCACCCGGATATGCTAGGCAGTATGTTATTGTATGGTATGTGGTATGATGGGGGAACTCACTAAGCTTTGTGCTTACGGTTTTCAGTTTTGGTTTCAGGTACTTCTTCTTCGAAAGGAAAGGAGCCGACATGTTTGCAGCGCATCACACCATGATTTCTGCACATGAGATCTTTGGGAGTTATACTCTGATGTTGTTTTATCATGACATGTTTTGACTATTGATACATTGGTTTTGATAGGAGTTGATATTATGGATGTTTTCAGACAAATCGTTTTATAATTATTAAATTAAAAATGAAATTTTTGGTCTTAAATTTTGGGATGTTACAAGTTGGTATCAGAGCCCTGGTTTGAGGGACTTGGACACACTCTCGGGTGTGTCTGGACACACTCTTGCTTTGTGCTTTGAGGGACTCTTAGCAATGTGAGCTAGCTATTAAGTGAATATGCTAAGTCACATGTGGCACAGGCTGGATAATCTCAAAGTAATGGATTTGTCCCTATTCCGCAGCTCTCGTCTGAGTCAGGGAGGTGGTTCTGGTTCCCGAGAGTGTGTCCAAGGTTCAGTTCGCCTTGGATCTCCTGTATCGGGCGGCAAGGAGCTGCTGGGAATTAATTGAGCGATCTATTACACTTTTGAATTGGAGAATATGTCTTGGGATGAGTTTGTGACCTGGTTTGGGGCATAGGATGTTCTAGTTGTTGCAGTTCAGCCGTTGGTAAGTTAGCTAGTGAGCGTGACAGGGTGTCAGACCCTGAAGGATATGACTTCCAGAGTCTGAGGATGCGAGATCGATTTGGAGCACCTTGGGAAGAGAGGGTCGTGCCAGGTGCGTATAGTACAGGGTATCGAGAAGAGACCCAAGACTTCTGATCATCGGGTGAAAGGCCAGCAGGGCCGGAGTCAGTACAGCACGCGCGTGAAAGTGCACAAGGGAGTTTATCGTTCCAAGGGTTTAGGCTGCTACAAGTGTGGCAGGGTTGGTCATGTCAGCAGAGATTGTTCTCAGGGGGCAAGCCCATTATGTTTTCACTGCGATCAGGTGGGCCACAAGAAGGCCGACTGTCCAAGGAGGAGGGGAGGAGCAGTGAAGTCGCCTGCAGTGTCAGACAGGAGAAGTCAGGACTCCAGCAGTGTCAGACAGGAGAATTCAGGACTCCAGCAAGCGATGTTGCGGGTACGTATCCTTGTATTCTTTCAGTTTTATCTGTACATTGTTGTGGGAAGGGGTGAATGTGATATTTTAAAAAGTAAATGGATGAAAAAATATCATTTTACAAAATACAGGGGTTGCAAGTGACATATTATACGAAGTTGACTGTAAGATTGTATCATTATTATACCTTCGAAATTGTATCATTATTATACCTTTAAAATGTGGAATCTTTTGGTGACCACGACATGGTGGAGGAAGCACCACGACGTGGTCAAATCTTATATGAAGCATGTAATTTTTAATGTACAACGACGTGGCGATGTCTGGGGTGCAAAACCCTAATTTTTGGGCGTAGAGCCCTATTTAAAGGTTGTGATGGCTAGGGTTTGCTCACCCTCAGCCTCCACCACCCTCTCAAATCCAGAAACAAACTTTAGCCTTCATTGTTGACATCTTGAAGCTCTTTGGTGGTGTTTGTGGTATTGAAAATAAAGAATGGGCTATAAGTGCAAGGATTCAGCAAGCAAAGTTCTTCACCACCTTCTTGTGCATATCTTGGACCTTTATAAGTCCACATGTTTATATCTTTTTGTCTCAAGTCTTCTAGATCTAGATTTTGAGTCTTATTATTCATGTGTGTTAATTTGAGTGGATGGATTCCATAAAGTTGGCAAGTTTATAGGTCCTTGAGGTCTCTATGTGACTATATGTTCTAGAGCTGAAGTCCCATGAAGTTTTTGTTCCATGTGTAAGGTTTTGACATCTTTCTTCTTAGTTTGACCTAACTTAAATGTATGACATGCATTTGACATGCATGTTCATAAAGCAAGGGTTTTTATGATGGTTATGGGTACATAGAATCCTTCTAGAAAGGATGATTATGAGGCTTAATGAATTAAGGGCTTAATATTAAGAGGTCCAGAACAGATCCCACGACGTAGCGGAAAGGTTCTTCGCGACTGTTTTGTCATGAGAATGTCACGGCGTGGCATAAGCTTGACCACGACATGGTGGCCAACTGTGTTGACTTTTGGCTGTTGACTTTGACCGTTGACCTTTGACCAAGTTGACTTTTGGTCAACTCGAGGGTTTTAGGTTGTACATTGAGGATTTCCTCTAATCGTTGTATAGGTGGGTTGAGGTGGTCCTGATTTGTGCTGTAGGCCAAGATACCCGGGCGATCCAGGTGTGCACACATAAAAGTTATACCATTTAGTGTTATAAAAGCCTAATAAAAATATAGCTTCCAGTTTCCGACTGCCACCCGAAAACGCTCAAATATATCCCTAGATTTTCCTCTTCATCTACATCTTTACTTGACCCATTTCCTCCATGACTCTGATCAATTTTTGACAGTCATTCACTATTGTTTGAATCTCTCGATTTTATTATAAAACACCACATAAACCACATGTTGATGACAAAATAACAAGAGAGCCACGTCAACAAAACAAGGATGAATGGCAAATGTCTTAGCTGATTGCCATTGTCCTCGAATGTTGTTTATTTACATGTATAGTGATTTAAATAGAAAAAACAAGAATATGTTATCTAAAATGAAAATTATGAGATGACATGTCATTATGTAGTAGTTTTATATGTTCAAAAAGTAACATAAAATAGTTTAATTTATTGAACCAATTCAACTTTATATGTTTGTTTTATATGTTTGGGGTCACATGAACAAATTCTTTTATGATACATCCGTATAGTCGTATACAATGTTTTAAAAACCGGTTTGAACCGGTCGGTCAAACCAGTTGGACCGGGAACCGGGAGAGGGAGCGGTTCAACTATCACCGGTTTTACATTGATTTCTGAACCGGATTGAACCGGCCAGTTTTTAGAAAAAACCGGTTGAACCGGTCAAAATAAACCGGTTGAACCAGTTAAACCGAATAAAAACACATGAAAAAGAACCATTTACATAATAAACTTTGATGATTTTTTTCAAATCTATTTAGTTTTTTATAAATAAAAACATATGGTAAATGTTATAAATTCATTTGATGTGTTTGTATTCATCAAAAACTATATTTCGTTACGGTATTATACTTTATTTTCTTTTTGACGTATATGGATTGATGTAAAACACTAAAACTTATGGTTATGTGTTATTTTAATGTATTTGGATTCATCTACAACTTATTTTTATGTGTACTTTTAATGTTTGAACTTGTAAACATCAAATTCATAATTTCTATATGTATGTATGTATAGGAAAATAGAAAAAAAAAACATGAAAAGTATAGAAACCGGTTCACCCGGCGGTCGAACCGGTTAAACCGGTTGAACCGGGAATCGGTCACCATACCGGTTCAACTAAAAAACCGGTTTTAAAACATTGGTCGTATAGACATCTTGTATAAAAAAAAATATAACATATTTTTTTCAAGATCAATGACTCTTTGTTAGTTTTTGTAAGTGATCTACATAGTATTTTCGTCCGTTATTGTATGCGACCGTTCTTTTAGAATATATAACAAAATGATCATCAAACTTGCTAAAGAGATACATAGACATATTTTTCCCCACACCTATAAATTTTGTGGTTATTATATTTTATTTGAAGATGGATTTAGCACAATTGGTTAATGAGGGTTTATATGTTGGATGGTGTGGGTTTGAATCCATATAAAGTCATGTTTTGCAAAAAGAAAAAAAAAAAGAGAGAGATACTAGTGAGGTTTGAACCCACGCTCTCCAACTAATGACCTTACGTATTAAGCAGTTGTATTCTCATGACCAGGAATTTTAATATATTTCAAAAGTTATATTTGTTACGAAAAATAAAATGTAAATTTATGAGTTGTTTTTAGTGAGTTAGGCTGTTATTTTATTTTTATGATATTTTCTGGAGGGTATAGGTGATGGAGGATTATGTTCATTTTAATTTTTTAATGAATAACTCTTTTTTTCATCATTAAATGAAAATTTGCATTAAATAGAGAGATAATGTTTTGTATTTTTCAGTTAAAGTGAAAGACGACTGGTTTTTCTTCTATTTGAGCCATAACAAAATTAGTGGAGACTAATCATATCGTAATTTAATTTTATAAAGCCAATGAATCAATGATATTTTACAAAATTGGATTTGTTAAAATAGGTGATTTTTTATTTTACTAAAGTTTTTTCAAAAAAATAGAAATCATTTTCTTATTTGATATATTAGTAATTGGCCATATAAGAATATACCATCTTAATCAATCATAGTCTAAAATGATAAATATTTCATTCATGTCGAAATCACATTTTGAATACTTAGAATTAATAACCCTTAATGTCAGCAATAAATATCTACAATTGTAAACTAGTATATGAATACCTAAAATTAATTAATAATTACCATTCATTTATGCAATAAACATCTACAACTATAATTTCCTATAAATACAACCAAAACTTATTCTCTCATGGCATAAGAAGAAAAGCTTCCCTTTACAAGACACATAATTAATCAAGAATGACAAACCTAAAGCCAAGTTTGTTTCTAATTATAGTCATGTTAGTCGTATTCATGGAGTTCAATCACTCGGTGGCAACAGAGCACGTCGTTGGTGATTCCTTTGGTTGGGCAGTGCCACAAAATGACGGTCTCTATGTTATGTGGTCACTAAACCATACCTTCAAAATCGATGACACTCTTGTCTTTAATTTTGTTAATGGATTTCATAATGTTGCAGAAGTAACGAAGAAGGCATACGACAACTGCGACATCCAAAACCTAATCTCAATTCAAACCACCAGCCCCGCTAGATTTACCGTAAACAATATCGACAACCACTATTACATTTGCACCATACGCTTGCACTGCAAGTCCTTTTTGAAATTAGCGATTAGGGTTTCCGTCCCTAACATTTCGTCTGCAATGTTATCTCATTGATATTCTATTATTATCATATAAATATAATGAAATAACATTTTGGTTAAACAATCTTATTTCATTTTCTTTAAGGCGTTGATGGTATGTTAAATAATCTAATATATAATGTAACACCCATAAAATTTGAGCCAAATTAAAATATTTTAATCATTCAAAAACCATTACGTTCATACAACTCGTTTTCAAAATAGTTTAAACATCAGAGTATCCCCCCAGAACCATATCATATAAATCATAAAACATGAGGAGCGGTACGATCACGCCTTCGCCTTGCCACGATCTCCTGAAGTACCTGAAACAATACACTGAAACTGTAAGCCCGAAAGCTTAGTGAGTTACCCCCAAAATACCAACCACACATATCACACTCATAACATATCATAAATAGAACAACCATGCACATCGGGTCTACTGTGTGACTGGTCCGCCCGCACCGGGCCTTCAGTCCACCTGGTCCACCCTCCGAGTCTAGCCATGTACGTCGAGTCTACAGTGTGATTGGTCCGCCCGCACCGGGCCTTTAATCCACCTGGTCTACTCTCTGAGTCTACAGTATGACTGGTCCGCCCGCACCGGGCCTTCAGTCGGCCTGGTCCACTCCCCGAGCCTCGACACGTCTGGTCCGCCCTCTTGGGGCCTTCAGCCTATCCGGACCGCTCGCTGGGCCTTCGGAATATCCGGTCCGCCCTGGGTATGTTGGCCTTCAGCACAAAGCAGGACCCGCCTCAACCCAACCCCCGTCAAACAACCATGTGCACATAAAACAATCAATCACATAACAATCCTCAACCAGACAAACAGTCTAACAGATCACATAGCATATCAACATCCTAACCAGGATTCCGACCTAACCGGTCACTAGCATAACATTACCCTATATCCTGGGTACCGACCTTAACCAGGTCACTAACATAACATCATCCTAAATACCAGGATGCAGATCTAGCAAAACAATAACATAACAAACAATACCCGGATTTCCATCCGATAAAGGGTCGGCCTTGGTGTCGTAGACCCTGTCGATATAGAGAGGATAACTCACCTCGCAATTGCCGACTGAAAGGATAAGATCAGCTGCTCCGATCACCGACATGAACTCCACCACCGAACACTACCAAAGAATCAATTCCATAAACACCAAAATCACCAAAATACCCTTGGAAGTCAAACTGGTCAACTCTTGGTCAAAGTCAAAGTCCTCAGCCAAAGTCAACCTCCCTGACTGACTCTAATCGCCGAGTCGACCCGTCGACTCGTCGAGTCCCTATACTCAGAAATTCCCATAACCCGAGTCTACTCGCCGAGTCACCCCAAGACTCGTCGAGTCCAGCGATCTCCGAGTCCCATCCTGTCCAACTCACTGAGTCACCCCTCGACTCACTGATCTGCGTCTTAACCAAAAGGGGTTAGGGGTTCTGCGACCAGACTCGCCGAGTCCAAGAACAGACTCGCCGAGTCCACGACAATCTTCAATAGACTCGCCGAGTTGTTCTTCCAACTCGTCGAGTCCAAGCTCATCATCATAAGACTCGCCGAGTCACCCATGCGACTCGCCGAGTTACTACGTGACTCAAAGTCTGATCTCTAGCCCGACTCGCCGAGTCATCTCCCAGACTCGTCGAGTCCATACGTGCATTCCCAAAATCTCGAGACACAGAGCTGCTCCTTTGCTCCAAACAATAGATCGGGGTCTCTAGAGTCCATTAGCAACATAAAGTTGCTACCTTTACGTGCTTCTTGCCCCATAATACCAAAAACCAAGCTAGAAAGGGACTTAACTCTTGGGGAAAGGCTTTTGCATAGCAACCAAAAGGGCTTTCTGCATCTTTGATCCAAATAGAGCCCAGATCTGGAGTTTTAACTCCAGATCTAACTTATACACCAAGATCTCATCATATCATCTCCAAACAAGCCCTAAAACTTCCATGAAAATGGATCTAGAAAGGGGAAAGCCAAGGATAACGATTCATTACCTCCAAAACGACCTCCTGCTGAAGAGTAATCTGAATCTCCACAAATCTCCTTGATCCAAGCTTCTTGATCTTCAAGATCTCTTCACAAAACACTTAACAATGCTCCAATTTGCTTCCAGTGGCTCTCACTCATGATTCTAGGGTTTCTGGGTCTCAAAGGGGGCTAAGGCAGCTGAGGGGAGGACATTAAGTCCTTTAAATAGGGTGCAACCCCGAAGATTAGGGTTTTTCCTCGCCCAGCACTGACGCGTCGAGTCCAGCCGCCGACTCGCCGAGTCAGGCCACTTAACCCCGTGCCACGCACCCGCTTCGACTCGGCGAGTCAAGAGACCTACTCGCCGAGTCCCTTCCTTTATTTTCACTTAGCACCCTTCAACTTCTTGCTTCCGAACTTGGGATGTTACAATTCTCCCCCACTTAAATTAGGCTTCGTCCTCGAAGCCTACGGCAACACGAACTTCCGGATGATACTCCCACAATGCATCCACTGATCTCAAACCGACCCAGATTCCTTCAATCACTGCTATCGAATCCCTAAAATCCATCTCTTCCCTTGCAGGGTCCTGATCAACTGCTTCAAGCCGGCCATCGGCTTCTTTTCTCTGATGACAACACTCATCAACTAAGTGCCACCTGAAGACACTACCTTACTTCCGTCTTACGCATTCATTCGCAACCTGCGAAAACTGGATACCACAACACCCACTAAGCTCCGCCAAGACACTAATTCATCTTCCTTCGCCCAAGATTGGCGATAACCCTGACAACTAGCAACCTGGAACGAATCCTCATGATGGAATACCCCAGGTTGGAATACCTCCACATACATAACCCAAGCCTACAACCATACTCGGAACTAAGGACCTTGTCAGTCTTGATCGACCCAAACATTTCCGACAACTCGGCCCGGAACATAGCAGCAACCTCATCATGCAGGATCTCACGAATCCTGGCATCCAACTCGTCCGTGCTCATCTGACCAATGACCTCGGGTGGTACTGACCCATCCTGACCACCCTCTCCCGATCCTGATCCAGAATCGGATCCTGCCCTGAAACGCCTCGTAATCGCCATACTGCAATACACCAACGAGACCCTTAGACACATCTCATAATCACCCGGGGACTATCTCATAACCGATACCCTAGAGAGTTGTGACTTCCTTGATACGTGTATGGGTCCTGTGCTTTCAGTAGTACGGGCCCATACTACCTTCCACACCTACCCATATTTGTCTCAAGTATCATCACAACACTCTAACCATATACACACACCCGCTCAATCCTCACTCCTAGAGGAAAAGCTGCATATCTCAAATAAGGAAAACCCTAGGCTAATAGGCATCACATAATCAGGCAATTCTATCATGCAATTCCTGAAGATCCCTAGCCTAGTACTAACATGCCGTTCTAACATATCACATAATCAAATAACATGTATGGTATTTTGGGGTCTACTTACTGGCTCTGGCTGATCGTACCCTCTGCATCCTCCTTTACTTATTTCGAAAACCTTTTGAAAACCATTTTAAAAATCCCTCCTTGATTTGAGACTGGATTCACACGAATGTTCCTCCAATTCACTCAAACCAAGGCTCTGATACCAACTTGTAACACCCATAAAATTTGAGCCAAATTAAAACATTTTTAATCATTCAAAAACCATTACGTTCATACAACTCGTTTTCAAAAATAGTTTAAACATCAGAGTATCCCCCGGAACCATATCATATAAATCATAAAACATGAGGAGCGGTACGATCACGCCTTCGCCTTGCCACGATCTCCTGAAGTACCTGAAACAATACACTGAAACTGTAAGCCCGAAAGCTTAGTGAGTTACCCCCAAAATACCAACCACACATATCACACTCATAACATATCATAAATAGAACAACCATGCACATCGGGTCTACTATGTGACTGGTCCGCCCGCACCGGACCTTCAGTCCACCTGGTCCACCCTCCGAGTCTAGCCATGTACGTCGAGTCTACAGTGTGATTGGTCTGCCCGCACCGGGCCTTCAATCCACCTGGTCCACTCTCTGAGTCTACAATATGACTGATCCGCCCGCACCGGGCCTTCAGTCGGCCTGGTCCACTCCCCGAGCCTCAGCACGTCTGGTCCGCCCTTTTGGGGCCTTCAGCCTATCCGGACCGCTCGCTGGGCCTTCGGAATATCCGGTCCGCCCTGGGTATGTTGGCCTTCAGCACAAAGCAGGACCCGCCTCAACCCAACCCCCGTCAAACAACCATGTGCACATAAAACAATCAATCACATAACAATCCTCAACCAGACAAACAGTCTAACAGATCACATAGCATATCAACATCCTAACCAGGATTCCGACCTAACCGGTCACTAGCATAACATTACCCTATATCCTGGGTACCGACCTTAACCAGGTCACTAACATAACATCATCCTAAATACCAGGATGCAGATCTAGCAAAACAATAACATAACAAACAATACCCGGATTTCCATCCGATAAAGGGTCGGCCTTGGTGCCGTAGACCCTGTCGATATAGAGAGGATAACTCACCTCGCAATTGCCGACTGAAAGGATAAGATCAGCTGCTCCGATCACCGACACGAACTCCACCACCGAACACTACCAAAGAATCAATTCCATAAATACCAAAATCACCAAAATACCCTTGGAAGTCAAACTGGTCAACTCTTGGTCAAAGTCAAAGTCCTCAGCCAAAGTCAACCTCCCTGACTGACTCTACTCGCCGAGTCGACCCGTCGACTCGTCGAGTCCCTATACTCAGAAATTCCCATAACCCGAGTCTACTCGCCGAGTCACCCCAAGACTCGTCGAGTCCAGCGATCTCCGAGTCCCATCCTGTCCAACTCACTGAGTCACCCCTCGACTCACTGATCTGCGTCTTAACCAAAAGGGGTTAGGGGTTCTGCGACCAGACTCGCCGAGTCCAAGAACAGACTCGCCGAGTCCACGACAATCTTCAATAGACTCGCCGAGTTGTTCTTCCAACTCGTCGAGTCCAAGCTCATCATCATAAGACTCGCCGAGTCACCCATGCGACTCGCCGAGTTACTACGTGACTCAAAGTCTGATCTCTAGCCCGACTCGCCGAGTCATCTCCCAGACTCGTCGAGTCCATACGTGCATTCCCAAAATCTCGAGACACAGAGCTGCTCCTTTGCTCCAAACAATAGATCGGGGTCTCTAGAGTCCATTAGCAACATAAAGTTGCTACCTTTACGTGCTTCTTGCCCCATAATACCAAAAACCAAGCTAGAAAGGGACTTAACTCTTGGGGAAAGGCTTTTGCATAGCAACCAAAATGGCTTTCTGCATCTTTGATCCAAATAGAGCCCAGATCTGGAGTTTTAACTCCAGATCTAACTTATACACCAAGATCTCATCATATCATCTCCAAACAAGCCCTAAAACTTCCATGAAAATGGATCTAGAAAGGGGAAAGCCAAGGATAACGATTCATTACCTCCAAAACGACCTCCTGCTGAAGAGTAATCTGAATCTCCACAAATCTCCTTGATCCAAGCTTCTTGATCTTCAAGATCTCTTCACAAAACACTTAACAATGCTCCAATTTGCTTCCAATGGCTCTCACTCACGATTCTAGGGTTTCTGGGTCTCAAAGGGGGCTAAGGGAGCTGAGGGGAGGACATTAAGTCCTTTAAATAGGGTGCAACCCCGAAGATTAGGGTTTTTCCTCGACCAGCACTGACTCGTCGAGTCCAGCCGCCGACTCGCCGAGTCAGGCCACTTAACCCCGTGTCACGCACCCGCTTCGACTCGGCGAGTCAAGAGACCTACTCGCCGAGTCCCTTCCTTTATTTTCACTTAGCACCCTTCAACTTCTTGCTTCCGAACTTGGGATGTTACATATAATTTGATATTAAGAATTAACAAACGAACAAAAAAATATATTCAAATTAGTATATGATAAAAGATCATTATTTATTTGTAATCATATTGTTAATATGCTTACCCTTGTCCCTGTTTTATTTTTATATATATTGTTTGTATCATATATAAAAGATCATATGGTGTGAGAATGAATTTTTCTGGGAGATCATCAATGAAAATAGTCTCCGTACCTTCAAGTATTTTTAAAATGTTATCTACATGTTACATTCTCTCGTCGAGTTGTTATGGAGATCGAGTGGATCTTTTCCAATATATTTAATTCACTGTCACATCAGTTCTACGTCAGCTTTTTTTCTCTCCTATTTCTTCCATCTTTTTCAACACACAATACATGAAAATAACAACTTTCCCAACCCAATTATCACATCACTATTAGTTATTAATTAAATTTGAAAATTAAAAATAAAATAAAACATAACATTTTTTAATATATATATATATATATATATATATATATATATATATATATATATATATATAAAGAGAAAGATTGTAGTGAAAGAGGGAAGTTGCGGGTTGTTTAACCCGCACAGAAGGCCAACAAAAGAACCCATCAACCCGCTAAACGTTCACGGAATGAGGTTTCCGACGGTATTGGCACTACCGCCAACCCAAAACACCTCTTCCCGAGCGATTCCGATCACCCTTATGAAGTTTGAGTATTATTGTTGTTGCAATATTAGACATACGTTAACATAAAATAAAATGGCATAGCCTTTTTGTTCTTGTGTATGAGGTTGTTTAATATTTGTCAATGTCATCATACAAATGGACACGAAAAGCTTAGTCATCTAGGTTTGTTTGGCAACTCCAAAATCTACTTTAAATAGTCGTTTGAATAAAAACTTTTTTTGTTATAACAAAAATACAATGTAGTATTAAAAATCGCATACCTGTTTGAGTTTTTATAGTTTGAGTTTTTATTCTTATTTTATTTTATACAATTTTGGATATTTCAAAATGTTACAACTATTTTTCCAAACACTTACCTTTCTTTCAGTCTAATAAAAAATGCAAGTTTCTGCTACCACCTTTATATGCTTAAACATATGCTAGTCTTTCCTTTTCACCTACATCTTTATTTGATCCATTTCCTCCGCTCACTCTTGAACAATTTTTGACATTCACTTTTTCATTATTGTTGGAATCTCTCGATTTTATTATAAAACGCCATATCAATCACACGATTATGACAAATTAACAAGAGAGCCAAGTCAACAAGGATGAATGGCAAATGTCTCAGCCGATTACTTTTGTCCTCAAATATTGTTTATTTACACGTATAGTGATTTAAATAGAAAAAACACTAATATGTTATCTCAAGTGAAAATTTTGAGATGATATGTTATTCCGCAGCAGTTTTATGTATTTAAAAAGTAACAGAAAATAGGCTATTTATTGAATCAGTTTAACTTTATCTACAGTTGTCTTATATGTTTGGGTTACATGAATAAATTATTTTATGATACATCTTTATAGTCATTAAGAGATCTTGTATAAAAAAATTATAACATATGTTTTTCAAGATTAATGACTCTTTGTTAGTTTTGTAAGTGATCCAGAGATTGCAAATGTCTCATGTCTCAAACCAGTTAAGATCTATTTAACACCACATAAACATATATGAAAATATAGCATAAACAAATTAAATTAAACCTTGAAATATTTTACATATTCTTCACCAAGAAATCCTTAACACTACACAAAACATATATATATTATTCAACCTAAAACATCAATTAGAGCAACACCCCGCTTTCTTAACAGCAGATACATCATCTTTACCTCCAACATTAATCGTTTGTCCCTTGGGTACAACCATGGGATCATTACCAATATCAAGTGCTTTCTTGCTCACCACATGATAAATCTGAGTCAACACTTCGGTGAAAGCATTCTCGACATTTAACGATTCAAGAGCCGATGTTTCCATGAAAAAGTTATTCTCTCTTTCTGCAAATGCCTTTGCATCATCCATTTGAACCACACGTAAATGACGTAGATCCGCTTTGTTCCCCACAAGCATGATCACAATGTTTTGATCCGTGTGATCTCGAAGCTCCTTCAACCATCTTTGAACATTTTCAAATGTTATACTACGTGTGATGTCGTATACGATCAATGCACCTACCGCTCCTCGATAATACGCGCTAGTTATGGCCCGATACCTATTTGATATATACATATACGGTCAGATATGTATATATATGAGACTGTGTCTGGCTGATGTGAGACACTAACAGATACAATCAAGGTGGTGTTAGATCTAGGAATTCCAAAAATTAATGATGAAAATACCTTTCTTGACCCGCGGTGTCCCATATTTGGGCTTTGATGATCTTGTCATCAACGTTGATGCTACGGGTGGCGAATTCAACCCCGATGGTTGATTTGGATTCAAGGCTGAATTCATTCTTGGAGAATCGTGATAAAAGATTGGTTTTCCCAACACCTGAATCCCCGATCAAAACAACCTTGAACAAGTAATCGTAATCATCATCTGCATGAAACGCCCCCATTTCTTTAAAGGGAGATCGCAACTGTGTTCATGGAGAAGATGGGGAAGATTAGGTGATGCAGAGAAATGTGAGAAAAGAGATCCAAGATTGGATGATGATAGAAGTTTTCTTTTGTCTGATCCGATCACATAAATTTAGATGATCGTTGTAACGATTGCCGTTGTATATAGGAGAGAGAGAAAGATGTAAAGGAAAATAGAGGTTAAAAGGTGTTATGTATTTAAATTAAATGTCGGATGTGACACAACCCAACTCAACCTGATCGACCTCAAATTGTGGTGATTGTTGGTTTCTAGTTCTTCCCATCCATGGATTTAAGAGTTATGAACCTATAATTTTGATAAATTTATGGATATTTTTATACATGTACTAGTTTATGGGAGATATTCTTTCAAACGTTATATAAATAAACCTATAATTTTGATAAAATTGTGGATATTTTTATACATGTACCTGTTTTTTGATATTCTTTAAAATGTTATAAGTTGTAGAGAGAAAATTACAAAAATGATCCCTATGCTTTGTTGATTTTGTGGGTATCGTCCATGAAGTTTTAAAATTGGGGATTTTGTACTTTTGACCTTGTTTGGTTGTGAACTTGATCCACATCAAACTTAAAACAAAACTATTTTATCCCTTTGATTTTTTTTTTTACATTACATCTTTAAAGTTAAGTTCGAGAAAATATTTTGATTTGTACCGATTTAAAAAAAATGTTGAAGAATCATAGAAAAAACAAATTCGATTACGATACAATGGCATAAAAGTGTCATTTATTTGAAAAAAAACAATGATAGTAAACATTTCGAATTCAAGAAATAAAGAATTGTTGATATTTATTGCAACTTAGAAAAAAATATATATTATATTATAGAAAGTCAAAATACTATTTTTTAAAATTTCTAGTCATTTGGATAAAAAGATAAAAGTCGAGTTATTTCCTTATAGTTCACGTATTCATTTTTTGTGGTTATCCCAATATATTATAAAAGTAATTATAGAAAGTTTCAATTGGCAAACTATACTACTATTTTAGGAGAACTGCAAAAGTACATTGCTATAAAACATATATTATGCCATTGCCTTTTTGATGTTGATGCCGTTATTTTTTTATGCTTGTTGGAGATACGACCACAATTATCTGGTTATGATTAAGAACAATCCCAAAGACTATAAAGTCAAATACCACCAGGAACATACTCAATCGAAGTAGTATGATAATGTTTCAAACAGAATATGGATTGTTGACAATTCAACAATATAAAGTAACCAAAACAAATAAGACGAAAGAAAAAGAAACATCGGGATTTTATGCGGAAACCACTCCGGGAAAAATCACGGGTATGGGATGACAACCAATTCACTATGTCGATATGTGATTACAATGTTGTGAAAGTCATTATTTTCTGCACATTGAATACAAGAGACCTAACCTTACATTTATAATAACAAGATCAACTTAACTATGGTATTGATAGAAATAAGAGTATATCCTAGGCAACAATTCATTAATTAATCAGAAACTTACGCCTAAAGAATAGGGAGAGTTAACCATAATAATGGACAATTCAAGTAATCTTCCAAGCTGCTAGGTCTAAAGCTGAGAAGTCTGGAGCTGATGGTTCTAATGCTGACATCTAGGGCTGTGAACAAACCGAACAAACACGAACGAGGACTTGTTCATGTTCGTTCGTTTAAGTTAGTTGAACTAATGAATGAATACGAACGGATAAACGTACGAGTTTTCTTGTTCATGTTCGTTCATTTAACAAATTAAATTGTTCATGTTTGTTCGTGAACATGCTAAACGAACATAAACTAACATAAATGAAAAAAGATAAACAAACATAATTGAACATATAATATAGTAATGTAATCAAACATAATTAAACATATATGAATGTAAAAGGAACTTATATGAATGAACATAAACGAACGTTCACAACCATAATTGAACGAACGAGACCATTGTTCATGTTCGTTCGTTTAACTAAACGAACGAGAATTTGTATTAATGTTCACTCATTTATTAAATAAACGAACAAAAATAAACTTTCCGCCGAACGGTTTACGAACAGTTCGTTACTGTTCAGTTCTTTTGTTTACAACCCTACTACATCCAAGTTGAGAACACAACATAGACTTTTGGAGGCATATTTCATTCAATTTGAGAACACAACATAGACTTTTGGAGGCATATTTCAACAATTTGTACCTCAAAGTCCCAAAGTCAGAAACATCAACAAATTGAAAACCACAGAACAACTCTAAATTCTCAATTCTCCATATAACCTCAAATGAGAAATTATAACAAAAATATTCTCAAATGTAAATTGCATTCCCCACCAAGATCCTCACAACTTAATTGCATTTACGTGCACCCACTAAGTTCAAATATAAGTTAAAATTGGCTATCATAATGTGTTTGGTAAGAATATATGTATGATTTTCATTGGTACTGAACTTGCTTACAATGAAAACACCTCTAGCAACGATCTCTCTTATAAAGTGATAACATAGATCAATATGTTTTCATTCGATCGTGAAACATTTGATCATTGGTCAGAAAAAATCCCTCAGATTGTTGCAGTACACAATATTGGCCTTCAACGTGTCACTAAGTTATCTAATTAAACACTTCAACCAAATAGCTTCTTTAACGGTTTCTGTTATAGATATATACTCAACTTTAATAGTGGATAATGCATTTATAGACCACGACTCAATGTGAATCTCCTTATCAATTCCTTGTAAAGGGAATTGATTGATAACATAGCAAGTACTTGAAGCTGCCTCTACCCAAAATTACTTTGGAAGCTTGTGGTCAAGAGCACAAACCATACTTTCTCTATAGTTATGTTATTCATCCTTTCGACCATGCCGTTTATTGGAGCGTGAGTCACTACGTGATGACAAGTAATTCCTTCATTTTGAAAATACACATTGAACTTGTCTGAACAAAACTCTAAACTGTTATTCGTGTGAATATCTCTTTAACTCCAACCCGAATACTTCTCAAGTAATAATTTTTCTAATCTTTTAATATTTGAAAAAAAATTCACTTATCACTACAAGAAACATTTTTCTTATGTATAGGTTCAAATGTCTCTTAAATAGCTTTTAGAGGCGATTTGTCGCATTGATAACGTTTGTCTAGACAAAATCCCCCGGTTATAGCCCACTTTGTCTAGGGCAAGTTTTCATCGACATAGAGTTGTCGTCGTTTCTCTTTTATATTTATTTTTTAAATTTTAATAAATACCTATCTAAGCGACAGGTCTCCTATGTGTGCGTTGTGTGTGTGTGCAGGTTCTCACAAAAAAATTGACGAAATGCTTCACAAACAACTTGTCTCGTGTACAGGTTAACACAAAAAAACATTTGCGTCATTTTTTACTCTATTTGTTACAAAAGTAAATAAATTTAAACAAAACTATTCTAATTCCTTAAAACCAAATTTGAACATTCATATAACTTGATAATGTGGTATCAAAAAATGATTTAAAGTCAGAGAAAATAATAAAACAACGATCAATGTGAAAAAACTTTGTTTTATTTTTCTTCTAACTTTAAATAATATTTTTTATTTCATAAAATCCAAGTGTCACACAATCACTGAGAAAAAATGGCTTGCTCATATATATGAGCCATGCAAAAGTTGAAAAGAAAAATTAAGAAAATATTGTAATTTTTTTAATTGGAAAAATGTTTAAGAAAAAAGTCTTATAAATCATTATAAAAAAGTCTTAAAAAGTTGTAGAAAAGTAAATTTTTAAAAACAAACTAAATTTGGGGTTAATCTTTAATAAAATTTTAAATTCAGACCAAATGTGAAATAAAGTTTACAATTTGGGTTAAAAATGCAAAATTTAAAAGATGATGAACTATTCAACCTTAGATAGCAGTATCTATATAGAAAAATAAATTGGTTATGTTTTAAAACATAAAACCAATTAGTTGACAACTTTCAAAAACTCTGAATATTAGTTTCCAAAAATGACTAGGTTTATTTTTATAAGGTACTATATAGAAAATTTAAGAGAATAAAGCCGACGTGCATATTGTATCTGGTCGTGAAAGCCACATCCTACAAGTGCTTATGACTTATGTCATCCCTAATATTTAAAACAAAATAATTATCACCAATCACCTTCTTCTTTACAAATTCGTCAGCGATGACTTCAAATTGGACGTTTATCACCAAAGATTCTCAGATTCATCGAAGCTCAGTCATCCACTTCATTAAACATCATATACTCCCTTCTCCAGTGAAGTGGAGGAGAGGGAGACGATGAAAGACTTTGTAGAAGAAGATGAAATCACATCTCCACTTCGTAAGCAAATTCACTCAAATTTTAACTCAACTTCATCAATCACAGATACCCAATGACCAGTTCTGGCGATTCTGTTTGATTTTTCTCCGAATTAATTTGTAAATGTGCAGTTTTGAAGAACACCCAAATAGATGGATCCACCTCCACCTCCGCCGCGCCGGAGGAGAACTCGCCGATAGAGCAAGTTGCTCTCACGGTTCCGGTGACAGACGACCCGAGTTTACCGGTGGTTACGTTCAGGATGTGGACGCTCGGGACAGTCGCCTGCGTGCTACTTTCTTTCCTCAATCAATTCTTCTGGTATCGCCGTGAGCCTCTCTCGATAACCTCGATTTCAGCTCAGATCGCCGTCGTCCCTCTTGGCCACCTCATGGCGGCGACCATTACTGATAGGGTTTTCTTCCAGGGAAAGAAGTACGAATTCTCACTCAACCCCGGACCTTTCAATGTGAAAGAACATGTGTTGATCACGATCTTCGCCAACTCCGGCGCCGGAAATCCTTACGCGATTCATATTGTGAGCGCCGTGAAAATATTTTACGGCAAGACGTTGACTTTTTGGGTGTCGTTGATTGTGGTGGTGACGACGCAGGTATTGGGGTTTGGTTGGGCCGGGATCTTCCGTCGGTATTTGGTGGAGCCGGCCTCCATGTGGTGGCCTCAAAATCTTGTCCAAGTTTCCCTCTTCAGGTACACCTTGCAAAATGGAACTATTCATTCAATTCTGAACACTTTTTACAGATTCCAAGAGAATAAATCACAGATACTTCTAAAGTTCCAATCTTTTGTGCTTAATTAGAATCTTGAAATTTACTCTATAAATTCTTGAAAGCCTACATGTATAAACCATGGTTGACCATACCTGAAAAGAAAAAGAGATAAAAAAAATATGTTTACTGTAGTGCATTTATGATAGTGTATAACTGTGTATCATGAATGAAAATCACTCTCTCTTAAACAATTCTTTTGGAG